TTCTCGAGTTCAGATTTGTTTTCTTCTACTCTTTGTTTTGTTATATTGTTTAATTGAGAAACTGGTAAATTTGTATAACCCTGATACTCCAATTTCTTTACCATACAAAATTTTCTAATAATTTATCGTCACAAATGGATTATTTGTATTATTCATATCCATGTGTTCATCACCCCAACCTAACTCTGATTTTCGTCGTCGTTCTTTTTGCTAGATGGTGATATTTTTTAAATAAAATATATAGTTTGAAAGAGCAGAAAATTCTTTACCGATTGAGCATAAAGCGAGTACTTTGAACCTCAGGGAAGGGGATCAAAAAACAAGAATAAAATGTTGTATTTAATCTGGCTAACCCGTTATATTAATAAAACACTTCGTTTTAATTATGAAAAAATTGGACTAACATTTAAAAACCATTTATTAACAATGACAGCTAACTCTATTTCTTACCATCTCCTAATCAATCTTATTAGGAAAACGTGTGTCACATTTCTTTTTTTAACATACCTTCATGAGACAGAGGAAGAGAGAGTTTGTTTCTCTCTTATTTTTGTATAACACATGTGTTTCTATAAGAATGAAAAATCGCTGTGTGGTCAACGACACATTGAATACAGTGAATGTAGCATAGAAAAAAATCAAAAGTGCGAATTAGAAATTGCGGTTTCGCACGATAAGTAGATAATTATCTTTTCAAACGTCCAAGAAGAAATATGTATGTGTTGCTCAAAAACTATAACTAAAACACTTAAAAATAAGCTTAACCCTTTACGGCCGGATGTGCTCAAATGGGCACATTGAAAGAGTATTTTACCTAAGAACATGTTCAAACTAGTACCAAAAATCAATTTTATACCATGATAATTAAGGATATGTATGGCACAATCATTTCGCCTTTCGTTCAAAATAATTGCACTATGCCATATCGAAAAGAGCCCATGGCAATTAACTACAATGGAAAAGCAAGAAAGCCATAGTTATCGCTTTTCACAATTTATTGATAAACAAAACACAAGCCTTTTATGGCAAAAATCTTTTCATTTAGTGAGTGTTATATGCCGATATTTGCGCCAATTTTTTCGATCAGAAGATAAACAAAAAACTCAAAATGTTCCCTTTTGGGCACTCCCGGCCGTGGAGGACCAAAAGTCTATGAAGTTCTCATTGATCTTTACATTCAACTTGATAAGCTGTATTACATCCTAGTGAAGCCTCATTGTACTCTAAGACTATTCTGAATCTCGATTTCTCTAGCACAGATGGTATGAGGACCGACGACTAAGTGCATCCCCCAGAAGGAAAATCTTGAATGCAAATCTTGATAAATCTTTAAAGATTTATCAAGTTTCGCCCCAGATCTTTCAAGAACTTGTGCAGATTTTATCGAAATCTTTCAAGATTCTGAATGGAAAGCAGTGTTGCAGATTTTCCACAAGTTTTATATCAGAATCTGTCGTGATAAGCCTTGAGCAGATCTTGTCAAGATATTTTAAGAATTCTGAATCAGAATCTTGATAGATTTGTAACTTCTGCACGTGATCTGTAAAGAATGTTAGTGCACTGGAAAAAAAACAAGGGTTTCTAGAATTCAAACCATTTCTAGACCTTTTTTAGACATCGTACGAATCTACGAAACCATATTAACCCTAATAAGATTTCGTAGATTCGTACGATATATAAAAAGGTTTAGGAATGGTTTCAATTCTCGAAACCTTTTTTAAGCATCTTACCATACGATTTTTTTTCAGTGTGGGATAATTAAAATTCTTTTGCCGCTGGATTTTTCTTGTTCCTAGTGCTTGAGCCTTTTTTTGTAAACATCAGATAACTTTAACTAGCTTTAACTGAATATTTTTGTTCATCAGATTCGTCTAGTGGACGAAACGGGTGTTTTTCTGAACAATTCTCGAAAGGTGTACGTACCTACTAGGTGAATATGATAGGCAAATATAGAAGTTTATGTTAACGGATGGCAGATTGAAGCTACTGAATGTTTACAAAAAAAAGCTTAAAGACAAGAAACTAGTGAAAAGGTTTCAGCGGAGTGAAATCTGACCTACTTTTATAGCCTACTTTTTATTTGCTTCCCTTTATAGAACTACAGTATTTTGTACAAACTGTTTGTAGTACAGGAAAAGTTACATGTGGAAGCTGAATAAATAAAATAGTTTAAGAGACGTTCAGTCATGTTCATATGTTGCTGACACCGGTGATATTAAATGATTGTTATCAAATGTACATATAACGCATTTTCTCCAGATATCTTCTGTTTTAATAAGAATAGTTTCGCGTGTTTCTTGTACAATATAAAAGAAATAATCGATTATACGTTGAAGAAGTGGTTGAAAACATGAGTCTTTTAAATAATCCGTTAATGACGATAGTTTTCTTAATTTAGTTACACATATAAATTTACCGCAATGACATTTAACAAATGAATCAATATAACCATATTCACAATCACTAATGCTATTATTATATGCAATTATATAATTGTTGACCAAGCCACGACGAGTATAGCACCTAGCATGATACTGAACACGTTGAAGCTTCATATGTTGGTAATATGTAATACTTTGTTTACAACTGATACAAATGTTAGGATGTTGTATTTTGAATCTGTCAGAAATAATATCTGACATATATTCTAACTGTTCATCACCAGCGTCATCGAGTTGATCGTTGTTTATTTCTATCGAATCGATTGTAAGATCGATTTCATAATGATCGACTATTTGTTTAATTAAATGTGATATTCCTCCAATGAAAAATAAAATGTAGCCAACGCAGTTGAATAATGGATTGTTTTGATAAAGTGTTTATGAGATGCTCGATTTTATCTTATACCCAGAAAAAACTCCTGTTTTAAGTAGAGGATATCTTCTACTAAGGTCATTCTCAAATAGCCGTAAAATGCCTAATATACAGACACCTTTCTAAATCCTCTCCAGTGGTACTGACACAAAGCTCGGCGCACAAAATTCATCTTTTCTGAGTTTTTCGCTAAAAATGTCACAAATAGCATCCTTTTCCAGGATAGTTTATTAAGCACTAGGAGCTCCTAAGACCTATCCTCTCCGTCGAATGTTTTTGCTTGCATCAGAGATCGAATCGGGGATGGTGGTCGTTTGATTCAGACTCGAGCCGGTCTCATATATGCATGTCACGTCTTTTTTTAGGCGTACCATGTGCGTCTCTTTGAAAAAAAACGAATTCTTCCCTCTAGTGGAAAACATGATGTTGAACTAGATGAACCATGTAGCGAAAATTCTTTTGAAAAATGTCGATGAACATGTAACACAAGGGTTGATAATTTTTTATCATAATAATCATCAATTGTATTTTCATAAGTCTTCAATAAAATATCCGCTAGTTCAGCTTGCTTATAAATAATATAGTCACAATGTAACAGTCTGATAGCACACACAAATAACAGAACATGTCCATAATGATCAGCAGAGAGAACATCACGTAGAATAACCGGGCATAAATACAAAATAACAGTACGATAACCTTGAGCTTTCCATGAACTACACCGTTGAATCGAACGCGGACGACGATGGAATTCATCTGGCAGTGTCAAATTTAGTAAAGTTGTATCAATAATATTGGCTTGCCTAACATCTAAATCAACACTCATTAATATTTTTTTTCCTTGGCCTAGCAAGGACGAATGCATATAATCGTGTTTAATTGATGTTAAAATTCGTTGTGAAAATATAGGTTCAAATATAGAATAACCAAATATACCACTTACTGAACGACGTGTTGTACATTTTTCAGCTTCTTCAACATGCTTGTAGTAATCACTCTGTGTTCTTTCCTTTTCATTTCCTAAAACGAATGTTCTTCGTGAATGATCGTTTGCGCAGAGAAACACTACAGGTTTTACGACAGATATGACAGTCAGTTGTACAGGTCGGCTTGTGTGCATATCGTTTTGAGCCGGAGAAAAGCCGAGACTCTTTCAAGAAATACATAAAACAAGTTTTGAATTTTTTCTGGTCGAGAAAAAAAGCTTATTTTCAAGGTGAATGACCAGCTTAATCCTTAATCCCGGATGTCTACAGGCAAAATTGTCAGCAGAATCACACAATACCACAGAATCGCTATCACAACACGACGATCCGTCCCGTCAAAATGGACTTTTTTCCAGCGCAAGCTGGCATTAAAAGCTGGTTTTTGCTGATAAGAAAAGTTTTTTCACCCAGTGTAAAGTGAATTATGAAAGTTTCAAGTTCGCCGTATAAGATTAGCAGCCGGAGATAAAGGGTGACGATCGAAGTGTCACCGATTAGATACAATGTCCAAGTTTTACCTGTTGGGATGTAAAGTACCGTTTTCTGATGGTGATCGTATTCACCATGAATGTTACACGAGATACAGGCATGATAACCACCATGTTGCACAGTGTTTGTCATTGTTTCCAGAGCAGGAAGATCTCCAGTATAGAACTGAAAACGAATTGGAATGATACGTTGAGTTTGATCGATATTTATCAATAAACCATCTTTCTGAACACTGTTTAATTTTTTTACGATATCACAAAGAAAAAGATTAAATCCTTCTTTTGACGACCCAGTCCATATTGATAATAACATAATATTTGATTTTGAAAAACGTATACAAGGGGGCAGTTCAGCTATAAATAATTGCAATATCCACATACTTTTACAATTCCTAATACGTTTTGTTATTGGAGCTCCATCAGCATGTAGAATGCAAGTAACAAATAAGCTTTGTTCTTGTTTTAATACTGATTGATAAACAGTTTGAGCCACAATATTTGTTCCGCACTTTTCTTTATGAAAACGTGCATCCCTTTGATATTTAATTATTTCTCTAGATCAAATACGAAGAAATTCTCTCCTTAAATATTGAACCTGTAAAAAAGCTTTTTGGTGATTTTAACAGGCACGATTATATAGTGTCTAACTCTTCCTATTACAAATCACGAGCAAATACTGTTTCCGTTTGCTGTTACTAATGAATTATATCATAGTTTCTACAGTAACCGGTCAGAGTTCTAACACTAATGTTTGATTTTCTCTGCTAACTTAGATTCTATAAGCGATGCTGGTATTCTGCATAAGCTGTCATCTAAATGTGATCACTGAATGTTTCGTTCTTCTAAACTTTCTAAATATAAAAGACGTATTTATAATTACGAACACGTGGACTGGAATTCATTCCTGGTCTCCGATTGCATTTGTTAATCGGTATCAACAAGACAAACTTTTTTTAAATATGTATGTTACAGTCCGCGGTGGCAGCGTGTTGCTAAGTTAGAGACAAGCTTTTCACAACTGATCACCACTTTTTAACAACTGATCCCTTTTCCCAAGTACTCATCAACAATGTTTGATTTGAACGTGTACATCTCCAAAAGCCTGCTTCATTCTTATCTGACATTTGATTGATTTGTGTCACTTCACTTGCATGAACATTCAATGAATGAACACTTTTCCCGGTCAACATCAGAAATCTGTCAAGATACATTGACCAATATATATCAGAGAGAGTGTCTTCACTCCACCGAAGTGAGTTTGCCCTGCGATCAGTTCGATCAGTTAAACACAGAGTCTTCCTATCACACGCTGCCATTGCCTTATAATCTCTATCCACTTTGATCTGTCTCTGTCGTCTGTCTTCGAGTTTGTTGAAGTCGAGTTGTTTCATTTTAATATCCCTCTTGGCGCCTCTTCGTGATGACTCGAATACATTATTCTGATGCTCCATCTTTCTCACTTTGATCATTCTCTTCCACTCACACTTATTACCACTTTCAATCACGATCGTCGATGACATGGCCCTCATATATGTACTCAGGTGCTTTACTTTATCCATCCAACGTTTTAAATCGTACTCCACATAGCCATCTTCTGCAACTCAAGGCCGAATCTCGTCTGTGATTCGTTTCAGCTGGTTCTTCGGCTCAGCAACAATGTCACGCACTTCTTCTCGTGCACGATCAGCAGCCATCTTCACCTTCTTCGTCCACTCCATCTCCCACTTCTCAATCTCATCGAACAACGTTGAAGTGGTGGCATCACATGTCTGTTCGATGTTTTGTTTGAGAAGGTCGTGCTCTCGAATGATGACGTCGAGTTGTACTGAGAGTTGTTGTCGATGTTCGTTGAAGTCTTTTCGACAGAACATCTGTTCACAACCAGAACATGATGTTATTCCAGCACCTTTCTGACATATGTCACATTTTCTCGGTGTCGTTAAATTCATTTCTTATGCCAATGAAACCATAGATTACTGCTGAAATCAGAGTAAGGTGACTTTTAGCTTGAGTACATTTGCTGTAAAAGTATGCTGGCTCTACAGCTTTTCAGTCTTATCGTTGATCTACGTTAATCTGAGCTCGCATCAAAACAAAATTGTGTATGACTCAGATGTATTTTAAATACAGCCAAGCTGGTGTGATGACTGTCTCATTTCAGTGCCTTTCTTACGATGATTACAGCCGAAATGAGACAAGCATCACTTTGTAGTCGGTGTGGGGTAGAGACTCAAATTTCTTAGAAGTTAGCGTATGTATCGTTCCTTCTTCGGACTGATTTTCTCGTTGCTCGGATAGAAATTTCGTGATTCTCGTATACAGTCACGATGGAACGTGTGATAGAATAATACAAGGTCAAATCTCACAATCAAATTTTTCATCTTTTTTAAATTTTGGCACTGACTCAACATTACAAACGACTGAGAAGAACTGTCAAAGCAGCCTCTGACTCAAGTCAAAGTTTACACTTCGATAAACCACGGCGAAAACTTAGAATTCTTTTAAAATTTTCGTTGTTCTTTCATATAACAGTCGTTAAACAAAACAGTGAATGGAAATCAGGCAGTTAACTGTGCTGGTTTTCAAAATCGTCGATTAACCTCGATTCCTTAAAAAAACGTTGATTTATCACGGTTAATTGATATTTCCAATAAAAAACAGCCTCAAAGTCCATCGGAGACTTCCATGACTTCTATTAGAATTGGCTTCAGTTGGTTGTCATATATGAGATTAAGCAACAGATTATATGCGGAATTAAAATAAAATTCCATCTCATCGATTACAAACATTCTTCTCTCTTGCTTGAGTGAGTGTGCTTTCACACTTGATGTTAGAGAAGACAGTTACTTACGAAGCTAGGTTTGTTGAATATGCTGCACTTTATACTGATAAACATGATATTTATACAAGAAATAAAACCAAAGTAAAAATATCGTAAGTCATTTAAATAAGAAATGTTATTTGTATTATATGCATGATTACATCAAACTTGTAATATTTACAATAAACTAAATACTTTAACATTCAGCAAGTGGTACTTTGCATTTCAATTGATCGTTCGATTTCTATTGACATTATACATTAGAATAATTCTTTTATTGAATATTAAGCACTTAATATTAAGAAATATGATTTCTTTGCCTTAGTCATGTATAACATATATTTTTGAAAGCAGCTATGCTACTAACACATTCTTATATACTTTGTTACACAAGCATACGAGATGTCTTTCTTAACCCAAGCAGACAAACATTTGGAAAAACGCGTTTAAGCGCTCAAAAAGGGAACCGCGATTGTGAGTCAGTAACGCTCATTAAAAAAACGCAAGAAACGCGTTTTTTGCGCAAAATTTTCACTTTCAGACCGTGAAAACGGCGAAAACTCCCGTTCTTGAGCGTTAAAACTCATTGTTTTTAAATTCTGGAATAAAAGCGC